TATAATGGGACTATCAGATGTATGCTGTTATTTTCTGTATTTGTCAGAGATTTGTTTTGTTGTTACTGTTTAAGAGACAGAATCTCTTGTCGCCATGCTGGATGGAGTGTGCTGGCATCATCACAGCTCACTGCAGCCCTGCCTGGACTCGAATGATCCTCTCTCCTCAGCCTCATAGGTAGCTACAACTACAGGCACGTACCATCACACCAGGCGAATTTATTTTTGTAGAGATTGGTGAGGGGGGGGTCTTACCATGTTGCTGAGGCTTGTCTCAAACTCCTGGCCTCAAGCAATCCTTCCTGCTTGGCCTCCCAAAGCACTGGGATTATAGGCGTGAGCTGCAGCACCTGGCCTATACCTTTCGGAGTTTTTGAGAAATTGAAAAAATAAAATAATGTAGGCCAAATGTTAGCAATTAACCCTACTAGAGTCAGAATAGCTGAATACCACCTTATTTATGAATAGTGAAAAATTTCCTCTTTACTTGTCAATTTCAGATTTCCAGAAGTATGTCTTTAAGTACATATTATTAACCAAACAGTCAGCCAACATTATTTGCCAAGGACATATCCTCCTAAATTATTGACAAAGAAAGATCAGGTCTAATTAATAACCGAATTTTATCCTAAATTAATACAGAGAATCAGGCTACAAAACCCTACCCAGGCAACAGTGATGTGTGAAAATGCTGAAAGAAGTTCTTGTTGAACAAGCCTTCTCTGTTGTGGAAAGGGCAATGAAACCAATTTTAGCAGCAAAATGGTTCTAAAAGAAATAGCATTCTTCCAGGACACTCAGAGCTGGCCACTGACACGTGAAAACCTTGGCTAGATTCCCAGCTTGGGTGGAACACCAGTTAAAGATGGTGTCAAGGGGGCCTCAAAAGACTAAACATAGACAAGAACTGCATAGAAGGATGTCTTCAGGCTGCAGAACAAGTTACCAGTCTGCTTAAAACCTTCCAATGTCCTACCATTTGGGGAAAAAATACACTTGGAAAAAAAATCCAAATTTCTTACTATAGCTTACAAGGTCCTATGTGACAGCCCCATGCCACCTCTCCAATATCACCCCTACTTGTATGCTCTCCATTTTAGTCATACTACCCTTTTGGCTCCCCAAGTACGCTAAGCTCAATCCCACATGAGAGCTCTGGCATTTCATATTCCCATTACCCAGATCATTCTTCTTCCTGGTTCTTTGTATGGGAAGGTTCTTCATGTCATCACTTGGCTCTCAGCTTGCACACTTCAGTTCTTCAGAGAGGCGTAGCCTGATGCTTCTCATTCAAGGTGTCTCCCAATCCACCACGTCCAACCAGTCAGCCATTCTCCATCACCACGCTACCTTATTTTCTTCACAGTGTGGCTTCTTGTTTCACTTCATAGGTACTTTGAGAATTTATTTTTCTGTCTCCTCATTAGAATGTAAGCTCCATAAAAACCTTTGTTTTGTTCCTGATACCCAGATGCTGGTTGCTTTTATACATACATTTTTAAACACACACACACACACACACACACACACACACACACACACACACACACAGGCCAAACAAACAATAAATAAACGAAGAAAACTGATGCATCTATTCCAGGGCCACATCATATATGTTAGAATTTAACTGCACTTTCAAAATAATATGTAAAAGATAATTTACCCACAGAAGAGCCTTTGTCAACTGAGTTCAGCAAGTAGTTGTTCAGCTAAAGTCCCTAAAAAAAGTCCAAGTAAGCAGCAAGCCAAGCTTTCCTCTGAGCATCCATTCATGAGACATATCAGAAGGGTATAGTTCCTAATGCCCAATGAAAGAATATTTGATTTGGAGCCAATGCTTGAGCTAAGTCTTATTTCCAAACCCACTGATCATCAACTCACTAGTTCCTGCAAAAGCTGGTTGTTTTAAAGGAGTCTGGCATCTCCCTCTTCTCTCTCTTGCCTCCTCTTCTCTTACCACATGATCTCTACATACACCAGCTCCCTTTCACCTTGTGTCATGAGTGGAGGGAGGTTGAGGTCCTCACCAGAAGCTAATGCCATGCTTCTTGTACAGCTTAGAGAACGGTGAGCCAAATAAATCTCTTTTCTTTATAAATTACCCAGTCTCAAGTATTCATTTACAGCAACACTAAAGGGACTAAGACAGTGGTATACACATGCAATGGTATATTATTCAGCCTTAAAAAGTAAGGAAATTCTGACATGCTACAACAAGTATGAATCTTGAGGACACCATACAAAGTGAAATAAGCCTGTCAAAAAGGGACAAATCTTGTATTTTTCTACCTAATATGAAGTATCTAGAGTAGTCAAAAATCAAAGAGACAGAGGCTGGGCACAGTGGCTCACACCTGTAATCCTAGCATTTTGGGAGGCCAAGCTGGGTAGATCACTTGAGATCAGGAGTTCAAGATCAGCCTGGCCAATGTGGTGAAATCCTGTCTCTACTAAAAACACAAAAATTATCTAGGTGTGGTGGTGGGCACCTGTAGTCCCACCTACTCAGGAGGCTGAGGCAGGATAATCGCTTGAACCCAGGAGGTGGAGGTTCCAGTGAGCCAAGATGGTACCATTGCACTCCAGCTTGGGCAATAAGAGCAAAACACCGTCTCAAAAACAAACAAACAAACAAAAATTAAAGAGACAGAAAGTAGAATGGTAGTTGCTAGGGCCTGGGGGAGGAAGAATGGGAAGTTAGTGTTTAATAGGTACGGAATTTCAGTTTTGCAAGAGGAGAAGAGTTCTGTGGTGGATGGATGGTGGTAATAACTGCAAAATGATGTGAATGCACTTAATGCAACAGAACTATATATTTAAAAATGGCTAAAACAGCAAATTTTATGCTACATATACTTTACCACAAGTTAAAAGAAAAAAAAAGATTGCCCCGTGGCTTACAGAAAGCAAGAGAATGCTCATCTCCTCTTCTTTAACTCTGAATATCCTTATATCTAATAGCACATCAAACCAGCTTTTCTCAGGTTAAGACAAAAGAATAATTCTGGGGTAGTCCTCATGTGGAAGGTGCTGCATAATGTAGTCAACACCTAAAAAATTCCAAGTACACAAACATCCAAACCCAAAACTTACAGCAAAAGAGATAGATGGAATTATTTCAACAAGCAGAAAAAAGGCAGAAACTAAACAGAGCTATTCGTATGTTTAAAGTACCAATTTAGGACTCTATAAACTAATTTCTAAAGAGACAAGAAAGTCCATGGAAAAAAAATGATTGGTCCATAAAGAGTAGATTTCATATATCAGAGCCAAGGTCTCACAAAGCAATTTTACTGTTTTGAAACTTTTAAAAAGTGTCAACTTGCATTCAGTAAACAAAGCAATTGCCATGTACTAAACAAAAATGTCACAACTGACAGTCTTGTATAATGACCTGGTTTCCCAGTGGCCCAGAAAGATGGAAAATAAACCCCAAGGACCCTAGTTCAGACAGACTGAAGAGAGCAGACCGTGGCTGTCTTGCATGATTAAAGGCTGTGTCACAGCTCAGTGGGGTCCATGCTTTCATAGCCTCCCCCCAGCAGTCCCCTAATGTGAGTAGGACTGGGACAAGAGTGACAGCCTCACAAAGGGGATAAAAAGAGATAAAGCTTCTTCCTCGTATGTTCAAACACTTCAGAATCTAAAACTTTACTTCTCTGCTATACAGCTATCCAATTTTCATTAAGAGCAATTTATATCACATAGAAGCTTCAAAGCAAATACTAATTTTATTTTTACCTTTTGAAACCTATAAAATCAGGACCAAGGGGTGGTCTGGATACAAAGCTTGGTTTGGATCACAATAAATTCTCAAATCAAATAATTGGTTCCAGTTGGAGCCAAGTTCATCAACAATAGGCTGATTTAGGATTCAGGCAAAGTCAGCTGCCTATTTGTATTTCAGAAACACTAGCATTTCTCCTGACACAAGTAGAGAGGTGTAAGCAACCTCTGGCTGGGTAATGCCACCAAACAAAAGCAACACCTTCAAAGTCTCTCTCAGTGACTAGAGGCAGCCAGACACTCAAACTGCCAGTCCTGAATTACAGCCTCTGAATGGTGAGGGCTTCACATTTCACCGATCAGGGCACAGCCCAATCAGAAGACAAACCCCTGCACTGCCAGGGACCAGCAAATCCGCTTTCTTCCAGTGTGCACATGACTAAATGTGCTTCTGTCCATCATCTGGGTCATATATAGTTCAATGCGAGCTGAGCAGACAGGGCTGCAAGGAAATCTGGCGCGGTTCAATACCTCGTCTAGCTTGGGTTCCAGTATCTAATCTTTTTTTTTTTTTTAACTGACAAACTCATTTCTCTACTGGGACAGGATGCTGTGTGGCTGGAAGTTCCATTTCTACAGCAAGAATCCTATCTGGAAACACAGAAGTTGTCCTCTAGCCACAGCAGCTCGAACTTTTTTGACTGTCGTTGCTGCTTTCTCCCATCACCCCCATCCCCTTTTGACAAAGATCCAACTGTAAAAAGTCTTACGTAACAGTTCAGGACTACTTCGGTTCTTTTACTGGGTAAGCACTTTCAATTTTTTTTAACTAAAAACCATTTTAAAATTGAATCTGTTGAGGGGCTTGACTAAAATCTTTTAGGTAATTTGTGTAGTGGAATACTGTCAGTGGATTTTTTCGTCTCATTTCTGCACGTGCTCCTTTGTTCTCAGAACAGAAGCTTTTTATACACATCCCATAACGCAGCTGGAGAGAGTTATGAAGTCAGTTATTATAAGGAACACAAAGGTTGCTTTCCATTCTTTGCCTTTAGATAATTAATTTTTTATTTGTTTCTTAAAATGGAGTATTTAAAGAAGTAAGGAATTCACAAGAAATAAACTGTTAGAGAATCTAGAAAAGTTTGAAGTTTTTACCACCTTTTCTATCTGTAGTTTTGTGTGGCCAAACACTTGTGCCGCCTGGGGCAGTGGGGGTAGAGGCAAGCATAGACAGAGAGGAACTAAGCCAGACATGGACAAAGGCACAAGCCAAAACCAGACAGTCCTGGCTGTTCGATAGGCCAGCAGTGGGTGAGACAGGTCAGCCAGCTGCAGGAGTGGGGGGGGGGGGGGGGGGGGCAGGGACATGGATGTGTGAGGTGCTCATGCGTGCGATCGTGACTAGATTCTGAAACTGCCAGCCATTTTCCCAGCTCCGCTTTGTGCAATCTAAAGGAATGCATCCCCTCTGAAGCAGTCTTAACGAGAGCCCACTGAGGGAGAGAAGTATGGTAAATACCACAACGTATGGAATCAGAAAATACCGGGAACTGGAGTGGGCAAGAGGGAATGCAGAGGGTGTGGAAATTTTTTAGTGATCTGGAATGTGTTGAGTGACAGGAAGTGCCCCAAGCTTCTCCCCCACCAACTCTTCTCAGTCGCGCCTGCTTTTGTCTAACTCTTGTAATCTACACACTACTGCTTACAAAGCTGTCTGAGTTTAAGACAAAAAGAAACCTAAAAGTCTCCTCATGTCATAGTACCTGCGGAAGAAATGTAAACGCATGGCCCTTTAAACCTGTGGACATTTTTTCAGGTACACAGGAGAAAGATAAAATAATTTTCCACAGATAAATGAGAACTATGAATTATAGTTCAGGTTCCAAATTTATTTTTTTTAAAAAATCCTGATTATGCTATACTTTACAAATGCTTAGGGTGGTTCCTAATTTGAAGGAGACTTATTTTATTTGGTTAATACATTGCATTTGAACTTGTTTCTATTTTCTTTGCATAAATTTGGACTTTGGGAGAAAAATGCAAAGTAATAAGTAGAATGCACTCGGGGAAAAAGGGAGGATTTTTCCCTTCATGAGTTGGAAAGTATTTTAAAGGGTTGGTTTCTTGGAAAAACAAACTCTCTCTTACTTTTTGCATCTATACTATAAAGATAACTTTATGCTATAATAAATATAAGGTAGAAAACTTTAAAGAGAAAATAACAGTGTTCTAAGTGAAAAGCTACTTAGCATTTTCCCAGACTTACACATTTTCAACAGAAACACTAAGAATTAAGAGAAAAGGAGCCAAATAATTAAATAGCTAGCCCTACTTCAGGAATATGAAATAGAAAATTAAATGTGAATAAAATGATACTTGGGAATATTTCTACCTCGTACCACAAAGGATGTTAGTGGTCAGCCTAGGAGTTAATCCTTCCTAGCGTGGCTCTGAGCCTTCATGCCGAGCAGACGTTATTCACATGACGATTCGAAAAGTCCATTCATATATCTCGCTACCTGGATTTGAATAGAAACCAGACAGCAATTCTTTAGTTCCAGCCACCATTCGCCCCACTGGACAATAGCGATTTGTTAGCACAGAGTCACAGGCTGTGGGACACAAAGCTTGGAGCTGCAGAAAGATGGGGGATTCAGAGAACAGGAAATTACAGGCTCGATGCACTCCTGGCAGCTCTGAGAATACCAAAAAAAAAAAAAAAGGCAACACAGAGATGCCATGTTTAAGAGCTACTTCTAGCTTTTTTAACCACCTCCAATGTCATAAAAGCTCTATTGTTGGAGTACATAAAGTCACGAGTCCCATGTGCTCGCTTTTCTCACTACAGGGAACTTCATTCAATGCCCTTGGCACAGTAAGAAATATCAAAAGCATCCCGAGTTGATTAGTTGTACACTCTAGTAGAAAGGAGAGCATTTTATAAATAAAGTGTCAGGAAAAAATATGCTTAGTAACACAAGTGACACATAAGAAAATCAGTATCTTTTTAAAATTCCAAAAGACAAGAAAAAAATAAAATACATCGAAACTCTAGGGACATTAATTTCTAAAATATCACATAACCTCTATTATTTAATTCTATTAGTAGTTTCTTTAGAAGATACATATCAATTTACAGGCTAGTGTTATACAGGAAACTTGTGAGTTCTGGATTGTATTTTCTAAAACAAAGAATTAAAATCAAAGCCCCAAGGGTTTATTCCAGAATATTAGAAAGAAAAACTACACTTTATTAATTATCAAATTAGTGTAGCTCCCTGGCTAAATTTAGAAATTGCCTCTACTTCCTTAAGACCTAAAAAATAAAATTAATGAATATTCCAAGTGAGTGGGGGAGAGATACTTCTCCAATCTTGACAAATGAGCAGGGGGAAACAGTACATGGATTCTTGTCCAGGTCCTCATGCTGCAACATGAGCACCAACAGGCCAGACTGGTGTCCATTTCAATAGGAGGAGGAGACCCTACACAAGGAAGCTGTAAAATGGTTTTGCTCTTCTGCCCTTCTGTGATCCACTAGCAAACACAAATCCTAAATGATATCATATCTGAAAGATACATCAAATGAGGCCATGCATGGTCAAAAAATGCTTTGGAAACATCAATTGTTCTCATCTACTTGATCCCAAGATAATATGGTTTGAAGCTGAACACGTGTCAGATTTAATGGTGCTGGAAAACATAATAGCAACCTTTAAGCTACCAGCATTTGGGTTTCCTCAAATACCATTATTATTCACCAAACACAATCACCAGTTACTGTCCCAAACTGTGTTGTCCAACACAGTAGCCACTAGCTCTATGTGGCTATTTTGATTTATATTAATCAAAAATAAAATCGAAAACTCAGTTTTTTTAGTTATACACACCACATCTCAAGCACTCAATAGCCTCATGTGGCTATCATACGGGATAACCCAGATATAAGACTATCATGTACAGCCCAGATGTAAAACAGTGCTATCACTGAAGAAAGTTCTACTGGACAGTGCTGATCTAGGCTGTGCTTATAACCAGCATACCTGTCTTCAACTACACATCCAGCTGGACATGAAAAAATTTAAGTAAAAAATACAATGACAAGATAACTAGTGCCATGATACTTGAGAAATGCCTTAAAAAAAAAAAAAAAAAAAAAAAAAGCATTTGAAACCAGGGATGAGAAAAAAGGTCCAGATCCATTTTTTTTTCCTTGGTTGCAATGAAGACATTACAAAGAATATTAGACAGCACTGGAAGACAGGTAGTCGTGGCCAGAGTACATGAAATGCTCCAGAGTGGCACTAATTTAGTGTCAAAAACTTCTTCCTAAACATGAGACAATTAATTCTATAGTTTCGTGGTATCACAGCAATGTACAATATGTATAACAAAGAACCAGGGCCTTGAAGTCAGTTGGTCTTGAGTAGATTTATTACTATCAACTTCACTAGCTAGATGATATTAGGCAAATTAATTCACCTCTCTGAGACCTGGTATCACTATCTGCAAAATGGGGAAACAGGCACCCTGCAGGATTTATAGAAGAGCTCACGATGAAGTATGTAAAGTATCTAGTAAGATGCCAGGCACATGGTAGAGTCCAAAAAAGAATAGCTATTATTACTACATTTTCCCCCTTAAATATTCACAATATGACTCTTGTAGACAGACAGATTCTATTCAAAACACAAGGCAAGCCTTCATAAACAAGTATCCTAAAATATTAATGCTGGCCATGTCTGCAATTCAATCGGAATAAAATGAAAATTTGGACAGGACATTGCTTTTCCCAGCCAATGTGTGACCATGCTGTCCCATGCAGCCTGCTTTGTCAAAAAAATCTCACGTCATATTTGGCTTACATAACCACCACGTTCTTGTGTGTTCAGTCTTATACTTAGGGATGTAGGCTTAGATTTTAAATAAGATGACAAAGCTCTATAAACAGGAAGTAAACTTTTATCTGAGTACAAAGCAATGATCTCCAAATACTGGGAACCTGATGCCTGTTCAGGAAAATTTAAAAAGCTATATTAGAAATGCAATGATAAGAAGTCTTATTCTCCCTTGTTGAGATGACAGAAGCATTCAGAGAACCTTTAAATGAAAATCCTTAAAGAAATGATGAATTGGGTCTTTTTGCCAAGAAACATTTTAAACAATCTAGATTGTATAACAGTAACCATAGTAATGAATCGGCAAACACTCAATGCATTATAACCTTCAATTATTGTGAACGTGGTTTATGATCAAGACCGAGTGCAGCTTTTGTGGTTTTAAAAAAATTTAGAAAGCCAAGGGACTTCTATGATGATCACATGTCTTAACCCCCAAAGCTACCATCAAATAAACTGGACGTGATATACATGGATGTGAGGTTCTTAAATTCAGATGCCATTCTCAGCCTATCTTATGCCTGCTTTGTGCAAGAAACATGAGTCTTAGGGTCAAGTGAACAGGGGCTTGACCTGGCTCTGCCCCTTATTTACTACAGGATCTTGTACAAGTCATTTCCCGTCTTTGTCTCAGACTCTTCATTCATAAAATACAAATATCAATACCTTCCTGCCAGGCTGTTTGAAGAGTCAAGGATATGTATATAAACATGTACTGGTGTTTCTGGTACATGGAAAATACTCTGGAAATGCCAATTCTGTGAAAACTCAGTAAGGGCTTGAGGTTCTGTTCATTTTCTGAGAACTTTCCCACACACGCAGAATGGAAATAGTAGTGTTCCAGGCTGGTTCATAGCACAGGCCATCCTCTGTTTAAATTTTAAATTAAAACAAACATATGAATGTAAAAACTGTCAACACTGCACAAATAACTTGTAATCTTAGAAACAAATACTGAATGAAAAAACTGAATAGAAAAAATTATTTGAAAAGTGAGGTGGAACATCAGACTTCAATAATGTAAGGTATAATTTAACACTGATACAAAGCTAGTACTGTTGAGTATAAAAAATAACCCTTTTCTTAAATGAGAATTAATATTTCCTGGAAACTCTTTTGAGTAAGATTTCTACTACTTCCTCTTGGTGATTAAAACAAAAACATGAAAGTCCTAAAATAATGTCTAAGAGTGAGAAATTAAAATAACTTGAAGACATAGAAAAGAAAATTCATGCCCTAAAATCAAAGCTTTAAGAAGGAATTCCTGGGCAAGATATTTTCCTACTATATCTGTGGACTCATTTTAAAGTTGATAATAATCCAGCAGAAATGAGTAACAGGTGTTTCTTAACGATGTCAAATAAGTGAAAAATGCTGGACATGCCACATAACCTTTTGAAGGACATAAGCAGTAGATTCTCTAAAGCAAACAATGGAAGCGTGTAAGGGAGATCATGTGGTGTAGCTGAGGAGGAGACTTCTCCCAGAAATTGGCTGAGCTAGATATGATGTCACTCTTAGCTCTGCCACTGTTTAGCTAGATGACTTTTAACAAGTTGCTTCTGAGTCTCGATTACCATTGGTAGTCCAAAGAACACATTCATACTAAAGGCTAAAGAACAGACAGCACTTAAAGGTAAGAATCTGGATATGCCAGAGGGGCCGCACATTCAGCTCTCCAATACCTCACCACCACACAAAATGTTTTACAGGACTGCTGAAGCAGACAGATGGATGGATAGATGGATGGATGGATGGATGGATGGATGGATGGATGGATGAATTAATGAATGGAATCTGATGGCAAAGATTTCCATGGATGCCATCATCATTGACTGATAAATCACAAAAGCTCTCCAGAGGAAAGGTTCCTCAAGATCTTCAGCAGATGGTACAGGTTCTTATTGAATACTAATCAAGCAGAACCTTTTTATCTAGTCATACATCTAATCAATATTAAGCTTCTAATATGTATTAGAAGTATTAGACACAGGCCGACCAAATATATTACCTGCCTTCATGGAGCTAACAAGCTATAAACTCTGATAATCATGGGCCAGAAGCCCTATCATTGAAGAAATGGTAGGAGCTAGGCATAGTAGCTCACACCTATAATCCCAGCACTTTGGGAGGTGAAGCCGAGAGTATCACTAAAGCCAGGAGTTCAAGACCAGGCTGGACAATATGATAAGACCCTTGTCTCTACAAAAAAAAAAAAAAAAAAAAAAAAAAGGTAAAACTTAGCCAGACGCGGTGGTGTGTGCCTCTGGTCCCAGCTACACAGGAGGCTAATGGCAGGAGGATAGCTAGAGGTTGAGGCTGCAGTGAGCCATGATCACCTCACTGCACTACAGCCAGGGTGACAGTGAGACCCTGTCTCAGAAAAATAAATGAATAAAATAAATAAATGGCAGTGAGCTGAGTTCAGAAATTTTGGGAATGGTCCAATGATTTGGGAAACTGCCTTGCCATTTGTTAAAGTCAAACCAACATAATTCTCAAAATAATGGAAAAATATGCTCAGCTCCATTTCATTCATGCAAAGAATTATCCTAAACTGTAGGGTCTTAACAGACTTTCAATGGAGTCATCAAGCCATTAAGAAAATAAAATACCTTCAAATACATAGGCTGATTTCATAATCACGTACCATTAGTCAGATCTATGGTAAATCACTTTCTCATATAAAACTGAGTCACCTTTTAATAGATGTTTAAGAACAAGGTAATTTCTGGAGAGGATGAAACAAAGGAGGTCTGGATATGGAATGATGTTGCAGGAGCAGATCATGATACACAGGAGCATTCAATATAAAGCAAATTTCCTTCATCTCCTTCCTGAAGACTATGTTCTTAGCAGTTACCATTTCCTTTAATGACACATGCTATGATGATAGTAATTACACAGCTAGCTAGTACGCAACTCATGACTAATCTGGCTCTTAACAACCAAGAATATTTGAGACATGGATGATAAATACGAAGAGAATGAGAGACCAGAGTCACTACTGGGTTTCTGTGGTAATTAATCTTACAAACTAGAAACACGCCTACAGAGTGTCTAAATATTAATCTCTCCTTGGATTGGAATTTGCTCTTTGTTGTCTGAGGATAATACAATGAAGTTGTAGTTACCAATGCAGTAAAGTATATGCATTTGCCACAATGAAGCAAAGTATATGCATTTGCCACAATGAAGCAATGTTATCTCCACAGGGCGTGAAGCTCCCAAGATCCAAAAGTTCCAATTAAGAAATTTCTATTCCAGTTACCTAACATTAAAGATGTTGGATTTCCACCTAAATTTTCTCACTGGTAGACTCAATAACATGTGGCTTTTTCTTTTTCTTTGTTCACTGAACATTAAAGTCAAATAGAAAAGAGGTCTAGCAAATGTACTCAGAGCAAATTAGGCAGTTACACCAAAAAAGAAGACCCCCCAATCTGGTTATCTGTTATTGTGACCAAGATTTTGGTGGAATTGCCTCTTTTTTTTTTTTTTGGGACAGGTTCTCACTTTGTCACCCAGACTGGAGTGTAGTGGTACGATCTTGGCTCACTGCAATCTCTCCACCTCCCAGACACAAGCAATCCTCCTGCCTCAGCCTCCCAAGTAGCTGGGACCATAGGCATGCACCACCATGCCCAGCCAATTTTTGTATTTTTTTGTAGAGACAAGGTTTTGCCATGTTGCCCAGGCTGGTCTTGAACTCCTAGGCTCAAGCAATCCACTGCCTTGGTCTTCCAAAGTGCTGGTATTACAAGCATGAGCAACCATGCCTGGCCAACACTTGGCTTTCTAATACCATTACATTTTGTCAAGCTCATTTCTCTGTATAATCTTCTATCACTAGAACAGAAAAATTCCTTTTACCTGGCTATTTAAGAGTTCTAGGTATACATTCAAGGGGTATCTGCTGAAAGCTTAGTATATCCCAAACCCTGTTCTAGGCACCAGATACATAGCAGGAAACAAGACAAAGGTCTTATACTTGGGCACTGTAGTCACAGAGACAACTCTGTATCAGCTTGAGCACTTACTGACATCGTGAAATGTGACTCTCTGAACCTCAGGTACTTCCCCTGGGGGGAAAAAGAAAAATACTACTACTAAATAGGGCTGTTATAAGAATTACATGTTTGCCTGTGTCTAGCATAACACCTAGAACACCACAGATGCTTGATATGTAGTAGCTATAGTTTGTACAAATTGCAGATATTACTATTATCTACCCTACTTTCATATCCATGTATATAAAGACTAATCTAGTTTTTAAAAATAAAAGGTTTCAAAGGCATAAGTATATCTAAAATACATGCTTCAGGTGTTAAGAGCCAAGCAGAATCATTAATGAATGAAATGCTACTGTATATTCCAAACACAAAACTACCTTAAAGTTGGGATATTAATGGTGAAACAGATTACTGTCCTCACACAGATTTCAAAAGGTAGAGCAATTTATGTCTAGCAGTGTTACTATTTCAACCGCTTTAATCAGAAATTGTATAGAAGAAAAATATCTAAAAGATTTGGAGTCTCAAGTCCTACCACAGCCATCAAGAAGGGCATAGAAAGCATGTCTTTCCTCTGAAGACTATTATAAAAGCCTCATAAAAATGTTCCCTGAAGGAATATTCTTAGGCTGATTGCAATGATATACCTTGTAAAATAACTTATTTTTAATCTTACAGTAACAGTATGCTTACTGCAGATGGACTGAGAGTAAAAATATAAAGACAAACATTTAATCATAATTTTTAAAGTTATTTATAATCCCACAAGCTAAAGATACGGGCTGTCAACATTCAAGAATTTCCTTCTAGTCTTATTCATTTTAATTATTAGTGACTTTTAAAATACAGTTTATCCTTGAACATCACAAGGGATTAGGGGGACCAACCTCCCATGCAGTCAAAAATCCATGTAAAATGTTTGACTCCCCCAAACTTTACTAATAGCCTACCTTTGACCCGAAGCCTTACTGATAAACAGTTGGTTAACACGTTATATATTATATTATATTATTATAATAAACTAGAGAAAAGAAAATATTAAGAAAATCATAAGGAAGACTAAATATATTTACTATTCATTAAGGGTAACTGTATTGTCATAATGGCCTTCATCCTCACTGCCTTCACACTAAGTAGGCCTAGGAGGAGGAAGAGAAGGGGTTGGTCTTGCTGTCTCAAGGGTGGCAGAAGAGCTACAAGGGAAGGCAAAAGAGGCAAGCACACTCAGTGTAACTTTTACTGAAAAATATCCACATGGCCAGGCATGGTGGCTCACGTCTGTATCCCAGCACTTTGGAAGGACGAGGTGGGTGGATCACCAGGTCAAGAGATCAAGACCATCCTGGCCAACATGGTGAAACACTGTCTCTACTAAAAATACAAAACATTAGCTTGGCATCGTGGTGCTCACCTGTAGTCCCAGCTACTCGGGAGGCTGAGGCAGGAGAATCGCTTGAATCCAGTAGGCGAAGGTTGCAGTGAGCCGAGATCGCGCCACTGCACTCCAGCCTGGCGACAGAGCGAGACTCCATCTCAAGAAAAGCAAAGCAAAGCAAAGAAAGATATCCACATATGTGAGAACCCACATGATTCAAATCCGTGTTGTTCAAGGGTCAACTGTACTAGGAGTTTTCCTGCCATTATACAAATGACACTGATATATTAATACATAGAAAACTTAGATAATATAGGAAAACATAAAAAGTAAAATTTGTCCCCTATAATCTCACTCACAGAAAAAATCCTTACTAATCTTAATGTAGTTCATACACAATGGAATCCATTCCCAACATTGATTTTTCATAATCATTTATTCAAGCATATTTTCAAGTCATTAAAAATGTTTTTTGCAGATACCTGGATGGTTTCCAATTATTGTCTACTATAAATACTAATTCAATGAACACATTTATAATGAAATCACTATCTGTGTTTCTGACAATTTTTTTGGTCTGACCGATTTATACCTCTACCAGCAGGGACTGACAGTACCTGTCCCATCCTAAGCTCACAAACACTGAGAATGTGCTATACATAATTAGCTGCTACCCAAACATATTACAGTTTCTGTTTACTCAATTAAGAAAAAAAAAGGGGGAGTTTTTAAAGGAAAACTCAATGTGAAATAAAGATAAGTAGGAATCTCCCTAATAAGACAGATTATACATCCCTAACAAAAACCAGACAGCAATCTTGAAAACCCTCTAACAGGACACAGTGTAGTATCTGGCTCTAGAAATCTCAAGAAGTAAAAACAAATCAAAACAAAACATTCTTCTCATACATGTATTTCATTAACCAGTGAAATGAATCAGGAATCACTCTCACCACTGAAGAAAATAAATGACATCAAAAACATTGTTGGTAAATTAAGATGTACAAAAATGAATGTTTTTATGTCTGAATTATTTCAAATTTTTGTCAGCAAATAGTTCTAAATATGGATATATATTTTGGTTTCCCAAGTATAACAGAAAATTCTATAAATTATCATCAAGGTAAGCAAATAACCAAAATAGCATTTATTCAACAAATATTTACTGAACAACTTTGTTTCAGGTAGTTTCACGTACAAGAGATTCTAAGTTGTCAGAAAGAGTTCTTTCTTCAAAAATCTTGCCTACAGTACCTTTACAATGTGGTCCTCTTATATCACAGAACATTTGCCCTCCCTAACTGTTGAAATTTCACGTTTCAGACTGTGGCTAGAAAAAGGAAAACATTTCAAGACAATGAACAGTCAAGTATCAAAATTTCTTAGGAGGGGAAAAAAAGTCACTACAATCCAATGGGATAGATTCCATTAGCCTGGCCTCTCACCAGTACACAGGAATGTTCACCCAAGTACCTATAGTCAAGAAGAATTCGAGTAGCTGGGATTACAGGCACACGCCACCATGCCTGGCTAATTTTTGTATTTTTAGTAGAGATGGGGTTTCACTATATCGACTAGGCTGGTCTCAAACTCCTGACCTCAGGTGATCTGCCCACCTCAGCTTCCCAAAGTGCTGGGATTACAGGGGTGAGCCACTGCGCCCAGCCTTATTTTCTTGATTCATAGGAATAAACATGTATAGTAGGCCCACAATAAATATTTATCATGATTACAGCAAGTTAGAGAAACTTAATGTCTTGAGTAGAATAAAAACTTTAAAATAAAAAACTTACATACTGTTTTTCCCCCTACCCTTCCCCCTACATAAATTTGGTCAACATATTTCTTAGCCTGGCAGGGTGGTTCATGCCTGTAATTCAGTACTTTGGGAGGCTAAAGCAGGAGGACTGCTTGAGGCCAAGAGTTTGAGACCAGCCCAGACAACATAGCAAGACCCCATCTCTACGAAAACAATCAAAAAACTAGCCAGGTGTGATGGCGCATGCCTATTGTCCCAGCTACTTGAGAGGCTGAGGCAGGAGGATGGCTCAAGCCCAGGAGTTGCTGCAGTGGACTATAAGGCCATTGTACTCCAACCTAAAAGACCAAGTGAGACACTTTCAAAAAACAAAACAAAACACGTATTTCTGAAATTTCTTTTATTTGTCTATTTTCAGATCATTCCTGGTCATTGAGAAAAGGTCTAAAAAGCTAGGAAATGAGAAGTCTTACTACTCAATTATTATATTCTGATATTATGTCTCCAGGTTAGCTCCATGCAGAGGTAGCCGACAAACACAGCTTCAGCAAACGTCATGATTCCTTTATGATTCACTGTCAACAAACAGTGACTGAGGACATGAAACAGCATGATCAGGGAAGAAATTCAGAATGGATGAAGCAAAGGGTGTGTTTAGGAGCAGTGAGGAAAAGATGTGGCTTAGCAGGATACTGGGGGCCCGATAATAAAAGCCCATGTCAGGTTAAAGGGTTTAGATTTTTATCTAAAGATTGTCAGGGTATCAGGTTGTGAAGCAAAGTTAAATTTGCATTTAGCAACTGGATAGAAGACAGATTAGAACTGGGAAGACTGGAAGCAAGGAGACCACTTGGGCTGTTGCAGTTGTACAGATAAAAAAATCGTTTTGACCACAGTGGTGGCAATAAAGATGCAAAGGGCTGTCATATGCTACATAAGTGAATTTTGAGGACATTACGCTAAATGAAATCACCAAACAACAACTACTGTATGATTCTACTTACATAAGATATCTAAAGCAGTCAAATACATAGAAATAAAGTATAATCGTGGTTACGAGGAACTGGGACGAGGGGGGAATGGGAGTTGTTTTAATGGGTACAGAATTTCAGTTTTGCAAGGTGAGAAAATGCTGGAGATCTGTTGCACAACAAAGTGACTATACACTACTGAACTGTATATTTTAAAAGGGATAAGATAGAAAATTTCTTACATGCTTTTAGCCACAATTTCTTTAAATAGATGTGAACTAGACTGCTTGTGTGTGTGTGTGTTTTACATTTTGCTCTATTCAACCTCTGAAAAATGTCTCCTGCTATTTTCCTAAGTTTTAAAATGAGTTATCACCAAATGGGATCTGATTTGCAAGGCACCATAAAGTTACACATGGCCCCAAATATCTTACTCTGTTACTTTGTCATGGTACTTAATATTTCCTCCAAAGACATTTATTCTTTTTTTTAAAAGAAACATGCTTGGGCCGGGAGCGGTGGCTCACGCCTGTAATCCCAACACTTTGGGAGGCCGAGGCGGGTGGATCACAAGGTCAAGAGATCGAGACCATCCTGGTCAACATGGTGAAACCCCGTCTCTACTAAAAATACAAAAAATTAGCTGGGCATGGTGGCACGTGCCTGTAATCCCAGCTACTCAGGAGGCTGAGGCAGGAGAACTGCCTGAACCCAGGAGGCGGAGGTTGCGGTGAGATGAGATAGCGCCATTGCACTCCAGCCTGGGTAACAAGAGCGGAACTCCGTCTCAAAAAAAAAGAAACATGCTTAAAATATTCATTGAAAAATACCTGAAATATAAGAAGTATTATAGAATAAAAAGTGGAACCTCACCAACTTTCTCACAACCCTACTCCTGACCTAAAGTATTATTAATTAAACTAAGTTTATCTAACGTAAATACACAGGAAAATGTAAATATAAGGGAAAAATGAATTCTTTAAGGCCACTCTTAAGTGACTAAAACAAAGCCATTAACTAGAGATGGTATTTTAACACAAGCCCTTGAGTTCCATGTTTTACCTCAAACTTTTAAACCCAGTTGCTTTTTCTTTAAATTTTTTTATTCAAGTGTAAAAATACAGTAAAGTGCACACATCTCCAACAGTTCAATGAACTTTCACAAAGTGAACATACCTAGAGAACCAACATCTAAATCAAGACGTAAAATACTACTAACACCTCAGAACCTTGTGCCCTCCAGCCATTCAACTCTCAATAAAGGCAACCACTATTCTGATCTCTATCATCTAGTTTTGTCTATTTTTGAACTTTATATAAAGAGAATCCCATACTATGGAATATTTTGTGCCTGACTTCTTTTGCTCAACATCCTGTCTAGGAGATGCAACCACGCTGCTGCATGCTGTGCTAGTGTGTCCTTATTACCACCATGCAGTATTCCATTATATGTATTCTCTCACTCTTATTTGTCCATTCTACTATTAATGGATATTTAGTTGTTTCTAGTTTGGGACTATTACAAATAATGCTACTATACACATTCTTGTATATATCTTTCAGTGCACATGTTATGCATTCTTGTTGGGTATATGCCTAGAATTGGAATTGCTTGGCTCGGCACAGTGGCTCACACCTGTAAACCCAACACTTTGGGAGGCCGAGGCAGGCAGATCACAAGGTCAGGAGTTCGAGACCAGCCTGGCCAACATAGGGAAATCCCATCTCTATTAAAAATACAAAAATTAGCCAGGTGTGGTGGCACGCACCTGTAGTTCCAGCTACTCGGGAGGCTGAGGCAGGAAAATGGCTTGAACCCAGGAGGCAGAGGTTGTAGTGAGCCAAGATCATGCTACTGCACTCCAGCCTGGGTGACACAGCAAAACTCCATCTCAAAAAAAAAAAAAAAAAAAAAAAAAAGGAAGAAAGGGAAGGAAGGGAAGGGGAAGGAAGGGAATTGCTTAAGTTTCCCAGATCCTACTAGAAGTTTCAAAGGGTTTGGATCGATTTATACTCCACTTCTGCCAACAGAATTTGAGTGGTCCAGTTGTTTTCACCAACAATTTGTATGTCAGTCTGGTGGGTATGCAGTAGTATATCCTTAATTTTAGCCAGTCTGGTGGGTATGCAGTAGTATATCCTTTTCCTAAATTTCATTTCTCTGTTATCTAGTGATGCTGAGTACTTTGGGCTAGATTCTGACAGATATTTGAGGGGCAGACTTAATAAATCTTAGTGACCAACTGGTTGGAGAGAAAGAAAAGGAACATCTAGAATGATAGAAAAATAAAACATCTAGAATGATAGAAACATCAAGAATGATAAAAAATAAAACATATTTGGAGAAAGGGAAGGAACAGAAACCATATTCATTTCTGAAATGATTAGGTTGTATTTACCCAAGAGTAAGTGACATGTAAGATTCAAGAGTGAACTACAACTGAGCTAGGCATGGCGGCTCATGCCTGTATTCTTAGCACTTTGAGAGGCCGAGGCCAGCGGATTGCTTGAGCCCAGGAGTTCAAGATCAGCCTCAGAAACATGGCAAAACTCCATCTCTAGAAAAAATACAAAAATTAGCCACATGTGGTGGCATGTGCCCGTAGTCCCATCTACTTGGGAAGTTGCTGTGGGAGGATCACTTGAACCCAGGAGGTTGAAGTTGTCATTACAGTGAGCTATGATTGGACCACTGCACTCCAGCTGGGTGACAAAAAAGAGTTAACTGCATGCAACTACTGAGACTTAGCAGACATATGAAGGTTCTCCCATAAAACTCCCATAATTTAAAACAGACCAAAAAAACTTGAATGTCATACTGCCATATCTAAGGTGGTAAAGAAAATAAATTTACAATCCTAAGGAGGCAAAATAAACTAAAGTACAATGCCTCAAAACGAGAATCTCAACCTGGGTGTGGTGGTATGTGCCTACAGTCTTAGCTACGTGAGAGGCTGGGGCAGAAATAAATATCATAGATGCTTAAGAATGTCCCACTATGAGCTGGGCGCAGTGGCTCATGCCTGTAATCCTGGCACTTTGGGAGGCTGAGGCAGGAGGATTACAAAGTCAGGAGTTCGAGACCAGCCTGACCAACTGGTGAAACCCTGTCTCTACGAAAAATAAAATTTAAAACAAAATTAGTCAGGCATGGTGGCGCGTGCCTGTAATCCCAGCTACTCAGGAGGCTGAGGCAGGAGTATCACTTGAACCCAGGAGGTGGAAGTTGCAGTGAGCCGAGATCATGCCACTGCCCTCCAGCCTAGGTGACAGAGTGAGACTCCATCTCAAAAATAAATAAATAAATAAATAACCCACTACAACTTCTAGCAATCCCTGTGAAGATATAAAAAAGAAATCTACAGAGTAATGAATCCTAGGCAAACATAATTAAAGAAAAAAGTTAAAGCTTTCGTAAAAGACAAGCTCACTAAACAAATGGTTTCATGAAGACATCAATTAGACAAAAATCTCCTGTTTTCAAACAATAAGGTCATCTCTAACACCTATCAAGTTTCTCTATTGTGAGCACCTAAAAAAAGATAAGCAGGAGCAATGATTAATAAACAATATGTGAGGATTAAGAATGAGGAACAAGATTTGGAACTAGGCTCTGTCCTCTGAGATTCACCTCATTTTCCATCACATATTAGGTGGTAGTTAAGACCTTGGTCTCTATAGTCAAGCAAACCTGTCTTCAAATCTTAGCTCTGTATGTTCTTAGCTATGTGACCCTCAGCAAATGACTTTTCTCTAGCTTGTTTTCTCATTTTCAAAATGAGAATAATCATCGACATAACCACTGTCAACACAAAATGGGTAAT